AATTAAAAAAACAAATCCTGTCTAACTATATGTTCTTTATCCCCGCTTAATCGTTGCAGCTTCGGCTCTTGACCGTTGGCAGTGCTGCACATTCAGCTAATTTCTAGATAAACTTGGCTGCTTAGAGAGTTACTCGGGGGAATTATTTTGGCATTTTGCTCTCCTCCTTTCCGTTTTGTATACACCTCAATTCCCGCTTAATCGTTTCAGCTATTTTTGGCCATTTTTTTTCCCAACATTCGATTTAGCTAGGTTTTTTGTGAGAGTTGGCAACGCTGTTTGTCAGCTGCCAGCTTCCAATTTGATGGCCCAGCGTTATTTGAGGCATTTTAATAAACTACATTCCGAGCAGCTGGCCGAGCAGCGGCCCCTGCGTTCCAATAGGCTAATGAATATTTATAAATTTGCTGGCCAACAATTTCACATGTGCTGCAGAGAGGGGCAAGTGTGCACGTGTGTGTGTCTGCGTGTGTGTGTGAAGTAGAACAACGAGCTGCTTTATTTGCGGAGCAGTTGCTGTCAGCTGTTGCTGGCTTCATAAGTCAGAGTCCAGGCTTTTGGCATGCGACGGGCGACAGGCTCACATGTATGACAATCTCACATGCGTTCGCTGCTCTCTAATCCCTGCGTGTGTGTGTGTGTGTGTGCGTGTGTTGTTAAGCGTCAGTGCTTGGTTTTTATCGTGCTCTGCGCTGGCATTACGAGTGTTGCACACAAAGCAGCCTTGAGTGCAGCCCCATTATTGCGCCACTTCTTGTTATACCCTGTTTCAGACAGTGTAAGAGAGAATATGGGTGTTGCCGTGTGTTTGTCTGTTCAAAAATGGTTAGGTAAGTTATTTAATCGATCAAAAAGCGAGAGACTTGAGCTTTCGAGCATCGTGTTACGACGCGTTTGAATAAATGATTCAACAAACTTGAAGATATGCATGCAAACAAAGTTCGTTTGGTTCGAGTCAGCAACATGTTCGAGCTCGAACGCAACCAGTTCGAACAGCTTGATTCGTTCGACTCAAATATCCGCAGTTTGATTGAAATTGAACTTAACTTACAGTCTGAGAGAGTCTTTGTGCAGACACTTCTCGGCTGTGATTGCAATTGTGAGCAGAGTATGGCGCAGTCGGGTCGAACGATAGCCGCATTCTAGCTGCTTATTTTACAAATGTGCTTTTGATGACATTTTGAATGGCAGTCTAGTGTTGAAGCCATGTTGGCACCGCAATCTTTAAGAAGCCCTTCTTTCTATCAATAAAACCTGTTCGCAAACTGTGTTCAATTTCCCCCCCAAACATATGCCCAAAATTGATTGCATATGAAAACAGAAAAAAGGGGAAAATTCGAAGGAACAGTTGCACAGTTGCCTGAGCAGGCGGCAGTCAAAACAAACACGGCACAACCAAAAATTACACGCATCGCAAAAGTTTTTTGGAGAATATATAAGAAAAATATGTATGCCCCACGCCCCATTCAAAAGAAATGTCAACAACAGCCATATTTTTCTTTTATTTTCCCCCATTTTTTTTATTTGTTGGCTTGTTTTGTTTTTCTGTGAAATCTTTTGCAAAGCAAAAATGAATTCAAGTTTCCAGTCTTGAGTTGCTTTAAAATGTAAAGCGCGGCGGGCGATGACAACAATGCAAAGTTCACTTCTGGAATTCACAATTGTTCATCTTGTTTCAGTTGTTGTTGTTCTTGTTGTTCTTGTTGTTGCACAGCTGGTGTCTTGTTAGCTGTGTGTGGGTGTGGGTGTGTGTGTGTGTGTGTGTAGGGCTTGCGTAGGCCTAGTAGATTTAATTAAAATTTTATATAGAAAAACATGGCAAAGGTTGCGCTCAACTTTTGCCCTCTCTCTCTTTCCCCCTCTCTCTCTGTCTCTCCCCCTCTCTCGCTTCTAGACTGCGTTAAATTGAATTAATTCTTACAAGAGTTTTTCTCTTTGAAGGCGACTTTCAGCCATAAAACACATTGAAAGCAAATTTTAATTATTTGTCGCAGAGTCAACAACTATTATAATTATAATTACAATCAAATAATAATATAACATTAGTATTTGTTTAAAAAAAAAAACTGCAATGGCTTCTAGATGATTTATACTAAAGATAATTGTGAATTTATATGCATTAGTATGAGACACATGTCTTTCAGCTCAGCACAAAAGTATGCAACGATTTGTTAAGTATATTTGTCTCAGCTCATTTATTGCCCAGCCCAAAAGTATGCAGCACAATATATTAGGGCAGTTCAGGCAGCAGTTATAATTTAAATGAAAATTTCCCTTGGGAAATATATGTATTTTGTCAACTTGGCAGCACTTGCTGTGTTGCTGAAACAAATTTCCTGTAGGGAATTAGAGAGAGATTCTAACAAATGGAATAATTCGAAACTATTAAGAGATTATTTAACAAAAAAGCATTAATAAGCCAAGCTTGAAGTCACAGAGAACTAATAGGTCAACTTTTCCATAAAATTGTTGTTGCCAATTGGAATTATACAGCCAATCCCTTTGCAAGTCCATTTGATACCAGTTTCATTTAAAAACTGCTTGAAATATTCTATTTATTGTGAAAAACACTTTATGCACATGCCGCAGGATAATAATAAAAGCGGCAGCTGAAGCAGATTTGCAGCCTGAAATGCATTTATAGCCGGGCCGCAATATTTCCATAACAACTTTTGACAAAACAAAAAAAAAAAAAAACCAAAGCCAAATAAAAAAAATTAGCATGCGGCCGTTGAGTGTGCTTGACTTTCAGTTACCCTGCAGCTAGGCGCATGCCAGAGCTGCCAGATGGTCGCAGTTTTGACTAGAGATGAGTGATCACGAGATTTGTCAGTCACAGTGACTGGATCACAACTAAGCAGGAATACCCTTATGTTTTTATTCATAGTGGAATATCAACTACAACGCATTTAAAACTTTCGTCGGACTTTATGGGGCTTGCAATCCTGATACCCTGTCGCTTGTTAGGGAAAAGGGGTATCTCGCACACTCTGGGAATGCCTTTGTTTTGATTTCATCGGAGTACCTGGAACTTAGAGCTCTGGATTTTGCACTCAGCTCTTGCTAACCAATATACCCCGCTGATTGTTAATGGGAAAAGGGGCAATGCTTATGTTTGCGCTGCAGCATGACTCTCATAAATACAATGCCAAACGAGCGTCCACAATTTGCATATGCACATATGTAAGGCTCTTGTAATTTGCCAGGTAACCAGGTAACTGGCGCCTCGGTTAACTCGTGAGGCCACAACAAAGCTGCTCCAATGCAGATACACGGTTTGCATCCGGCTGCAGTTAAAGTTGAAGCTCATGGCCTCTGCTCGACAATTGGCTAAACTATTTTCAATTTTCCTCAATTGTCTAACCTGGCTAACACCTCTCAGGTGTTTGTTTGCGAATTTGCATACTCTCTTCTTTTTATTTCTATTGCTATTTCGAGTTTTTTTTTTCCGCGAGTAATTAACACATGCATAATCGAAACTGTCAGCGGCTGCTGCTGCTGCTGCTGCTGCCAGCTGATGGCAGCAAATTGCATTTACCAGGTAACTTAATTAGATCACGTTGCAGTTGCAATTAGACAGCAACTGCTGCTGCTGCTCGACAGGCTGTTAACTTAAGGCTCTCAGGTGCACACAGTTGGGAATTGCTTTAAGGCAGCTGCTTTAATGGCAAATTCAATTGGCTGCTGCACTTAGCATGTGAATTGCGATACACAAGCAAACAGTCCGACAGAGTGAGAGAAAGAGAGAGGGAGGAGGAATAGAGAGAGAGAGAGATAGAGAGAGAGAGAGTGCAATTCAGCTGAGGGCTTCTTAGCTTCCGATGCACAAAGCGTTTGCTGTCAAAAGGGTTTATTTGCAATACCTTTCGTTTTGCCTACATACATTTTTGCTACTCTATTTCTCTGGCATTCGTGTGCAGCCAGGTGTGTGTGTGTGCTAGTGTGTGCTTATGTCCAATGATGTTGTGTGATTATGCCCTGTAATAGGTGAAGACTTTGATAAAGGTATGCCCGGTTGTATGCTTAAGGAAAGCTCGACACAATTTGTGCAGCTAATTTACCACAGCTCAGCTCATTCGCATCATCAGAGCATATCATATATGCTTAATCGAGCCAGGGTATTGCCAAGTCGTGCTACATATTTGTGCTGGCAATCGATAAGTTGAACAGATCTGTGAATGCAGCTGCATCCCTTTAGCTCAATGTTTGCGAGCATATTTATGGGAGCACGTGAACAGATTATGATTACATTGATACAGTCGAAGCACGCACACACACACACACACACACACACACACACACACACACACACACACACACACACACACACACACACACACACACACACACACACACACACACACACACACACACACACACACACACTCACACTCACTGCTTGTAGTTTATGGCAATTTGTGTGGAATATGCAAGGGCTCGTGCATAATCAACGTGTATGGGTTAACAGCTGGGCTCAAAAATCTTGTTATTGCAATTTAGCAATTATCATAGAATAATAAACAAAGGCCCGCAGAAACACAAACATAAGCACAAAAATAATATTGCACCATGCCCCGCGGGACCCGTCCGGCAAAAAACAGAAACTTGAACTTTGATTTAACAACATTTTTCGCCTTTGTTTGCAGGGCTACGGCGGAAACGGAAGTCGAAGTTGTTGCTGACGGAAGCTTAAGCTGTTTGCCAGTGCTGCCAATGAGCTGAAAAACAAATTGATAGCGGAAGTGAGAACAGCCCCAGCTGCAGCTCCAAGTCAAGTACTGCACACACATATACAAATATATATATAGATATATATATATCTAGATAATGCCGAAATGCAAGTTGAAGTGAATTCTAGAATTTAGGCAGCGCAATTGAAAGCGAAAGCAAATTGAGTTTTCTCAGCTCGCACAAAGGATCAACTTGTACAATTTATTTAACTGCGAGCGATTTGTAAACCGGAAGTAGTCAAACAACGCAGGTAGCAAAAGCAGAAGAAGGACAACAAAATGGCGGATCTGGAACGCATACGACTCGTGCTGCTGGGCGGCGCGGGCGTCGGCAAGAGCTCCATTGTGAAGCGTTTCCTATTCAAGAGCTATACGGACAAATATCGCGCCACCGTCGAGGATCTATACAATCGCGAATATGACCTCGGCGGCGTCACGCTAAAGGTGAGTGCAACACCATGGGGCAAGCTTTTAGTGGCAAGTGCAGCTACAATGGCAATTGAATGGGAGAGTCACTGTGTGTGTGTGTCTGTATGTGTGTGTTAACATGCTTGCCACCAATTGTGGCAGCAATTGATGCTGCTTGCAACACAGTTAACAAAGTAAACGTTTTAGTTGTTGCTTTTTATAGCCGTAAAGGGTATCTTCATTTTGGCATTAAATGGGTTTTAATATACATATTTGTTTATATATATATATGCAACATATATGCTGCACATATGCTGCAAATATGTGGCATATATGCTGCACATATGTTGAATATATGTTGCATATATGCTGCACATATGTTAAATATATGTTGCAAATAATTTGCATACATTTTCCATACATGTTGGTTATATGTTGCATATATGATTCAAGTATGTCGCTTATATGTTGCACATATGTTGAATATATGTTGCATATTGTATGTTGCACTTGGCCAGATCGGACTTTTATATCATATAGACACCTAAGGTATGATTTGTTCTTTTTGTGCAAGTTATATATAGCTATTTAAATTCTATATCGGACTACTATATCGTATAGCTCTATGGAAAAGTTTCGGTCGAAAACTGAAAACTTTTGTTATACACATGTATATATATTTACATTTTAGCACCAAGCTCAGCTATTCAACTCGCATGTCTACAAATATGTTAAACGCGTGTCTTAAAGGGTATTCAAGCTGCGGCTTGCCGCAGCTAAAGTTTCTTTCTGACTTGTTTCACTTTGTTTTTATTTGTATTGCTGTTAGCTTAGGCGACTTCCGGGACATTTAAACTGCAATTTTATTGTCAGCTGACTTTCAATTGTTGCTCGCCGAGTGCACTCGAGTTGCGGTAAATGTCTCCCTGTGTGTGTGAGTGTATGTGCGAGTGTATGTGCGAGTGTATGTGTGTGTGTGGTTTGTGTCTGCTGCCAAACAATTTGAGCTGAGCCACTAATTAAATCAAAATTGTAGTCAAAGAGCTGCCAAATGCGGCCTGCATATAAGTTGCATGCAACTGAGCTGCCGCAAAATATGCAACAAAAAAAAATAAAATAAACCAGTCTGTGGCAATAGGCCGCATATAATATAAGCCAGATATAACTTGAATGCCAATTAAAAGTTTGCCGAATTAATTTAATTGAAGCCATAAACAAAAATGTATTTATCCAGAAAATCGATTCAGCTGCGACAATATTATGGAAGCTTAAAACTTAAGCCCAAGTCAGGTTGGAAATAGAATAAGCCTTTCTTTCATGAAAATGAACTTAATGTTGTGCTGTCCATTTAAATTACAGAATTAATAATGAGGCGAAAACATAAGCAAAAGGCAAAAGAACTTTAAAAGAAATTAAATGAAGTTGAGCTTAGAGAAAGTTATGGAAGTTTTCAATTTGAGCCCAAGACTATTTGGGGTTAAACCTTATATGCATAAAGCTGTGCCCAAAAGTATTCTGGGCAGCTTGAATAAATGCACCAAATCGAGTCCAACAAGCTGCGGGTACCCTCAAATCGTTACAGCTGGAAGCCAGTTAAAGCACTTGGAGCTCTAGCTAGAGTTGGGGCACAATTTCAATACTAGGTAAATGCGGCATGCATTAAATATTTAAATTGAAAGACTGCGGCTCTCTAGCAAATTGAGCGCATGCAAAGTGAAGTGGAGATGGGTTAATATACACATAGTTTGGCCTGCGGCCACATGCTCGAGTCTGGCTGGAGCTTAGCTGGAGCTTAGACAAGCCGACAACTGGCAGCTCGATGCTGGCGAACTCATTAATCAAATTTACACGCTACGCCTCAAAAACTGTGGCTGCTGCAAAATTTGAGACACGCACACACCATGTTATGCATATTGTGTGTGCAGGCTGGTTTGGGCTGCCTGCTCACGCCCATATACGCCACGCCCCCTCCGTAGGCAACATCATTCGAGCTGATTATTTGCTGCCTCGCAAGTTGGCCCCACGTCAACGCCGGTCGACTTGCCGCAAAAGTTGTAACAAAAACTTGATTAATAGGTGTTGCTGCTGCAGTACAATCCCCCCAAATATATGATAGTATCCCATTGAATAGGGCATCAAATGCAACAAAACACACACACAAACACATACACAATTTTGAAATATTTGCAGTTGTTTTTAAAGCTGTCTCCATTTGAGACACACATGAAATGTTGCTGCTGCCAAATGGAAATTGGGCTTACGGAACAACCTGTTTATTATTAGAGCGAGTTTTTGGACAAATTCAATTTCTGGTGCAGTTTTATAATCAATTTGGCATCCATTACAGTTCATGTCAGTTTTATTTGCAATGGAAGTGCTAGAAATCAATTTATGTCATAGATGAAAAGGCAATTAAATGCAGTTGATTGGAATTTGGTTTTAAAATTAAATTTTGCCTTTGGCTAGAATGTGCTTGCGTTAGCTGTTAATGCTGCATATTAAAAATGTTTAACCGCGCACAACGTGGCGTATGCGTGACATATTTTGAAAAATCACGCATACGCCGCGTAATACAATATATATTTTGGACGCTTTGCGTTTGTTTGACGCGCGCATTTAATTAAATGCGGCTGCTTTGTATACCTTAACTTGTTGTTGTCGTTCGCAGGTGGACATTTTGGACACATCCGGCGACATGCAATTCCCCGCCATGCGACGTCTCTCCATCGCAACGGCCCACGCCTTCATGCTGGTCTATGCAACAACATCGGCGCCCAGCTTTCAGTGTGTCAAGCAATGCTTCGAGGAGATTCGCGAACAGCGCGCCGACTTTCAGGTGAGCAGCATATCCCTGAAGCCACCCACTCCCCCCTCTCTACTCATCCATCCGCTGCCTTTGCATTTTGCATGCAATTAGCGCGAAGCAGGCAGAAAATATGTGCGAAATATGAAGAAAGCAAAAATGAATCCCGCATGTAGCCCAATTTCAATGCCCCAAAGCAATTAAAAGTACAACAAAAATAAAATAGGAAAATAACAAGTTTAAGAACTTGGCCAAAAGTCTTTCGGGCGAGTTGTTGTTGTTGTTTTTCTTTTGCCTGGCGCTGGCATTGTGCGTGTCAATTATAGCCGAGTCTCTTTTGTGGCAGCAGCTTAGCCCAACGCCCGGGACTTATTCTTTATCTTTATTTGCAGGATATACCCATTGTTATTGCTGGCAACAAGGCCGACTTGGCAACCACCCACCGGGAGGTGCGGCAGGAGGAGGTCACAGATTGGGTCTTTTGCGAATTGCCACGACTCAGGTGAGTTACACACGCCCACGCCCACGCCCACGCTTACGGCCATGTCTGGTCCACTCAATGCCAATGTCACTGATATTGCTTTAATTATCCCTTTGAATGGCAAAAACAAAATGCAAATGCCAGTTCATTTAAATGCTGCAACAACAGCTGTAGTTGCAATTAGGCCAAGTGCGAGCAAATGGCCAAAGTTGTGCAATGAAAAACTAAAATGAAAAGCGTAACAAAAGCCGCAAAATAGCCATTTACCCTGAAAGTAATTGTTGCCAGGCATTTGCAACAGGCAGTCGTCACAGCTTAAAGGTGACTCATATAGTAGATAATCTATGACTATTTTGTCCTTTTTGAGCGCCTTTCTCTGCGCTTCTCAAATGAAATTAAATTTTATTATCAACTTGAGGTCCTTAAATATTATTCGGATCTTAGGCAAAGTCTTTATTTAAGAATAAATTATAAAGAGCAAGAGAAACCATATTGTAACTCATATAGTTAACAATCCATGACTATTTTACTCTTTGTGCGCCTTTCTCTGCGCTTCTCATACAAATTATAATTTGATTATCAAGCTTAAGTGCTAAAATAATCATCGGATCTTCAACAGGGAACATATTTGAGAATAAACTATAAAGTATTCATATAAGCAGGGTATCTCTTTAGTCGTTCATCTCTCTGACACTTTGGTTCTAAGTAATGTGCAGCAAAAAGCGCAATAAAAATGTGCAATAAATTTCTGGTGGCTAAAAACAAATGTGGGCCACAGCAGTTGCCGACAAACGCAATTAAATGCAACAAATGAAATTAAGCGACAAAAAGCGTGACTACCCCCCCTCTCCCCACCCCCCCTTCCCAGCTGATGAGTGAGGTTCGGAGGATATGGAGGATGTGGCTGGTGACAGCAGCTGCCAAAATCAGTTGGCCATTTGGCTGGCAAGACTCGTTGCAATGTTGCGAAAACAAGCAGCGAAAATTGCCTATTGTCCCCGTCCGCCCGCCTAATATATTATAGTATACAGTATGCATCCTAATTGCCACTCAGCTGGTGTCTGTCTCTGACCAATTTGAATTGATATTCCCCATCCGGCAAGGACGTTCAATGCACTCGACTCGGCGTGCATTGCGCCTTGCATGCTAAGCAGCTCCTAAACGGAGACAAGGCTGCATTCGAATGCCATTTAAATTGGGTTCTTTGCACAATTTGCTGCGGTTCAAAGCTGCGTATTCGTGCAATGCTTAAACAGGAAGTGTTTCAAGCCAAGTAATTTACGTATTTAATGAAGTCTCTAGCTAAACGCTGCTTTTACAGGGTATTTAGGTATGCGATGAATGCCTCACATGCTACATGTTCGGCCTTCTGACTGCTCTAGCAGCTGTGAGTCTAAGAAAAAGTCAGACTGTCAGACGGCTCTCTTTAACAACTCTGTGCTGCAGTTTTCTCAAAAATACTCTAAACCTTTAAAACTCTGGCAACTCTACAATTCTTATTTGTCGATTCTAAACATAAATAAGCTTAGCTCTTGAAGATTTCGAAAGTCTGGCCACCACAAAAATGTAATGTTTCGCCTCTAAAGGCAAAAAATTAATTTATAGAACTTTTTAGAGCTTAGTTCGAAAAGTTCTTAAAAGACTGGCAACTCTGTGAATGGAAAGTCTCGCTAATTTGCTGACCTTAAAGTCAAAATATCATATATTAAATGAATCAGAGGTAAGTTCGAAAAGCTCTCAAAAGTCTGGCAACTCTGTGAATGGATAGTCTGGCTAACTTACTGACTTTAATGTCAAAATATCATATATTAAATGAATCAGAGCTAAGTTCGAAAAGCTCTCAAAAGTCTGGCAACTCTGTCCGACACTATAAATTTGATCAGAGCTTAACTAGGTTTAAGACGACGTGTGTGGAACAAACTTCAATACCCTGTTTATCAAGTGAAAGAGAGTATATTGATTTTGTGCAATGTGCATCTATGAGAGAAAGGGATGGAGATATTCCTTTTTAAACCGTTTTTAGCTGCTTTTAAACTTTCAGTTGCGAGGTTTTAACTTGTATTTAATGTGTTCATGTTGGAGTCTTAAAAAACAAACATTACAAAAAGCTCAATTTGCGTGACGGCGCCTCTGCCAGCAATTCGTGCAGAACTTGACGCCGCAGCTCAACCCGATTTAAAATTAACTTCCGCACTTTGCTTATTTATACGCCCTTATGAACAGACGCACACACACACGCACGCCTAATTGTGTCCTTAATAAACTGCACGTCCATAAAAATCACTTACAGGCGCACGGGTGTCAGGTGTGGGCATGGATGCGGGCAGGTGACTCCGTTTCTGGATCTGGGCAATGTGTTGGGCCGCATTTAACCATAATTTTAAGCGCCGCAGGCAACCGAACGGGCCGGGCACAAGGCGTGACCGGCTCGTGTGGCGGTTTAAGCAAGCGTGTGTAAACTTATTTAAACAAAAATATGTACACACATAAAAAGCACAGACACAAGCAGCAAGCGCAGAACTCACAACATATACAACCTACACTCAGAGAAAAGCAAAGTTTCGACTTGAGGCTTGACTGGCATAGAATAATCCAAAGCTTGAGCGAGCGCTGTACTTCACATATTTATATGTACATCAAACTCACACGACTCGAACTATTTGATAAGCTAAACGTTGCAACAAACTCCAAGTCATTTGAGTCAGGAAAGTTCGATTTGTTGGCGTAAGCAACATGTTCGAGCTGGAACACAATCGAACATACATGTTCGATTGATTCAGTTTTTAGTGTGCGACTCGAACTCGAACTGAACAAATTTGAGCCTTGACACGCTCGACGTTTCCGTCGTTGTTCGAGTATTCGAGAGAAGTTACGATTGACACGATGCAAGGCTTCATTTCGAAGACTTCATCGGACTTCATTAAAAAATGGTCTCCTGCTTAGAGAAATTTCTCAAAAAAGAACTTCTTTCTCCGCTGAAGAAACTTGAATTTGGATAACATGTCTGCTTGGTTTGAGCTCAAACTTGCTCGTTTTTTTTCTCCCAGTGCTGCATGTATATAAATATATGCAAATATATACAAATCTCTGTTGGATTAAACATTTAAGCAGATTGATGATGCGGCTGAAACGCACCTTGAACTTTTCGCCTCTGCTGCTGCTGCTGCTGCTGCCACTGTTCATCGCACATTTGCACTTCACGTGCCAGCCTGTGCACTTTTTTGTTGCGGCCTCTGCGGTTCGAGCTGGCAGCTTGGGTTTTTTGCTGTTCGTGGCCCTTAACATGTTGCATGTGCAACATGGTTGCAATTTGTTTGGCGCGTGTCTGTCTGCGGTTAAACGCTCTCGCGCACATGCCCTGCATATATCGCTCCTGGCCACAATTCGCAATTCGAAATTCGCAATTGCATAAGTAGTTTATTTAGCCAAACATAAACATAAAACGTTTTTGCCAGTTCACTGGCTTTTCAATATAAACAATTCATGTAGCTAACACTGTTTGATTTATTGTTATTGCATGCGCTGCATTAACAATTCATATTTTTTTGCAGGCCCTGCATTAGGTCAGCTCTTAAAGGGAAGTTATAAATAAAGAAGCTTTTTTCTTTTTAAAGGCAACAAGACTTGAAGCCTCGCTTTTCAAATCTGTGCTAGCTTTAGCGTTGCCAGATATTCCATAAACTTGGCATTTTCGTATTAATAAATGCGGTCACACTCTGCTTTATTTTTAAAGTAGCTGCCAGACTCGTTACAAACGAATAGAGCAAAATGTTAGTAAATTTTATAAAATGCGGTGACACTCAGTTTAAAGAATCTGCAAATGGCTGAAGTTTGCATATTAATTTGTTTAAAAAAAATGCGGTCACACTGAGTTTTCAGTGTCTGCAATAGCTTAAGTTTTCATTATAATTTGTTTGAAGAGTGTGGTCACACTTTGCTTTAAATTCACAAGAGCTGCAAGTGGCTCGCATCACAGCCAGCTTATAGGATTTTCCTATACAGAGAAAATGCGGTCACACTTAATTTAAAGTATCTGCAAGTGCCTGACAACACAGTTAGCCAGTTGAAAGCGATAAAAGATTGAAAGCTAGCAACTTAGCAGCTCATGTGACTTTCCTATAAAGCAAAGTGCACTCATTGTTTTAAGAATACGGTCACATTTAGTTGCAAGTGGCTGGTTTTGAAAACGCGGTCACACTCGGCTATCAATTTAAAGCAAAAACTACTCCAACTTGAAATAAAAGCTAGCATCTTCGCAGTTAATGTGATATTTCCTCAAAGTAATAATTAACTTTCTTTTACAAATGTGGTCACACTCAGCTTACAGTAACTGTAACTAGCTAATATTTCACACAGTCCAGCTTGAATGGAATGAAAAAAAGCTAGCAAGCTAGAAACTTGGCAGTTTTCGGCCGCCATTTGACTCCCTTCCGCGGCTGCTTTTGCTGCTCGCAGCTCGCCGCAACGTTGGCTAAATTCATGATACGACTAATTTAGCCATTTAAACGCTGTTTTTGCCGCTGGCAGCTTGTTTTTGCCGCCGCCAAAACAACGCAAGTGCCTTTTTCGGCTGTCGGCGTGTGCTTTCATTCGATGCCTTTATCCGCAAAAACCGATGTCAGCTTTGTTGATGTGCGCCACGAGCATGTTGTGAATTGAATATTTTTGTTGCACTTGTTATACCCCGTAACCAGCACACAAAACGGGTAGATAGGCTATAGAGTAGGGTTATGGTGTATATGGTTTTGGTTTGGGGTTCGGTTCGTGTAGCTGATTATTTACAAGAAAATTAGAACTGTTTATTTCTCACGTGGCTGGTTCAAACCGACTCGCGACTCACGACTGAGACTAGCTTAACAGTTAGGAATAAGAGATTTAGTAATAAGTAGGAAAGACTGCCAATAGAATACCCTGTAAATTACTCTGGAATGGCTCAACCAAGGCATAGTTGGTTCAATAACATTTTCTGACTAGGCACAGGGTACAGGGTATAGCTCAGTGTTATCAGCTATTGCAGCTGTTGTGCTCTAGGGCCAAAAGGGTTTTGAGCATTTCAAGTTGTGCATTTGTTTGCATGCGTGTTACCTTTTTTTGTGGCTTTTGTGCGAATTTGCCTAACATTGTGATTTTGTTTTTTGGCCCAAAATGTTGCCATGTCATGCAAATGTGCGTCATTATTTTCGGGTTGTGCACATTACGTATACGCAGCGTGCACATTACGTATACGTAATTTATGCAGCCAACCCGCTGGCCCTAAAACTTTATGCATAGTTTCTGCCACTTAACGTTCTACTCTTCTTGCATTTTTTTTTTTTTCACAGGGCCAAGGTGGTCGAGTGCTCGGCCAAGGAGGACACCAACGTGACCGAACTGTTCAAGACCCTGCTCTCCCTGTCCCGCTACCTGCCCGCCAGCAGCAGCAGCGTCGGCCCGGGCGCCGCCAGCGTCGAACCGGCGCCCAGCGGCTTTAAGCGCCGCTCCTCGGCCTATGTCAGCGCATCGTCCAGTCGCAGTGAGTAGTAGCACAGAAGGAATTTGTGAAGCGCTTCTTGATTGCACAACAAATATGCGCACTGTCAAATTGTGTGAACAAGGCTGCTTTAGATGGGAATGACCGACTAGAAAATACCCTAAGAACAACTCAGAGCTATCCTTATGATCATCATAGCCTTCTAGCCACAAATATACGTGTCTGCAGACCTCGAGCTGCGCTTTGAACCTTTGATCCTTAAACCCATGCTATGTCTGGAAATGATGGTAAATTCTTGACTAACTTCGGTACTTGTAGTCCCATTTTTTATGAAACTCACGTGCTTTTGTTTCCCTTAGGCCAACACTTTAAATGGGAAATGTATTTTTGATCGGAGTTTATAGTCCGATTTTTATGAAATGTTCAGTGAAATATATTTTATTCGGCATATACTATACGAGAGGCTACAAACCATATCTATATTATTTTTCAAGCTTTTCTTTAACTTCTTCCTCTATCTTAACTTTGATATTTATCGATATAATGAAATGGGGAGAAGATATCGTTATGGAATAAGAGAATATATCTAACAATCTTCAAGTTTCTCCAACTGCCTGGACATGTCTTGATTGAGTCGGCTGTTGACCAAGAATATATATATATATATAATCTTTATGGGGTCGACATTGGCAGGCTCTGCCTTTGCTCAAGAAACATAATACCCGTTCGAGCGGTACTGGGCATAAGAACTGGCAGCTGCTGCAACTTTCATCAAGCCCGGTAACTGACAACGGAAATTATTTCCAGCTAGCCTTTGTGTCTCTCCTGTCTGTCTGTCAGTCTGTCAGTCAGTCTGTGTTGCAGTTGCAAATATCAATTTGCCATTTGATTGCAAAATGAAAGCAGCGCCGCATCAATGTGGCGGGCGGTTTGTATCTTATAGATACACGTGCATGTATCTTAAATCTGAATCCGAGGCGGCGCGTAAAGCTGTCGTAAACAATTACGGTATTAAATGGATTAAAAAATGCGGCCGTAATCAAAGTTGTAATTAATGCGAAATTAAAATGCGAATGCGCTGAAAGCAAATGCAATTATTGCCCGAGTATATGAGGCGTTCTTTTAATCCGCCAGCTCATTAATAATAAGAGCAGTCGCAGTAAACGATATGCGCACAAGTAAGAGGTTCTAGTTGGGAACTCCCGACTGGGGGATACCCTGAACCCTCTTCTTCCAACATCAAATGCATATATATATACTGTTCTAGAAGTTATATGTCAAGTTTGGTGACTCTAGCTCTTCTTATTTAACAAAATTGAGCAAAAAATAGGATATCGATATCGATTTTTATCGATTACTTGGAAACGGAGCAAGTTATCGATTATTGGAAACAAACTCGATCTGCGCAGGCACTAGAAGCACCTACATCTAAAATTTCAGTCTCTAGCTCTTATAGGTTCTGATATCCTTGCGTTCATACATACGGACAGACGGACGGACGGACAGACGGACAGACAGACAGACGGACATGGCTAGATCGATTCGGCTATTGATGCTGATCAAGAATATATACTTTATGGGGTCGGAGATGCTTCCTTCTGCCTGTTACATACATTTGGATTTTGCACAAATACAATACACCCTTATACCCATTTTTAATGGGTTCAGGGTATAAAAAGCCAAACTTCGTGAAAATCGGATGAGATTTGACCGAGTTATGGGGGTGGTAAATTTTGCCCCATGTCTATATACGAATCTTGGGGTAAGATTTGGACATGCATTTCGACCAAAAAATCGGTGTCGAGATTTGAATGCCAGATTAATTCAGAGGGAAAACCATGAAGAAAAAGCCAAACTTCGTGAAAATCGGATGAGATTTGGCCGAGTTATGGGGGTGGTAAATTTTGCCAAATGTCTATATACGAATCTTGGGGTAAGATTTGGACATGCATTTCGACCAAAAAATCGGTGTCGAGATTTGAATGCCAGATTAATTCAGAGGGAAAACCATGAAGAAAAAGCCAAACTTCGTGAAAATCGGATGAGATTTGGCCGAGATATGGGGGTGGTAATTTTTGACCCATGTCTATATACGAATCTTGGGGTAAGATTTGGACATGCATTTCGACTAAAAAATCGATGTCGAGATTTGAATGCCAGATTAATCTAGAGGGAAAACCATGAAGAAAAAGCCAAACTTCGTGAAAATCGGATGAGATTTGGCCGAGATATGGGGGTGGTAATTTTTGACCCATGTCTATATACGAATCTTGGGGTAAGATTTGGACATGCATTTCGACCAAAAAATCGGTGTCGAGATTTGAATGCCAGATTAATTCAGAGGGAAAACCATGAAGAAAAAGCCAAACTTCGTGAAAATCGGATGAGATTTGGCCGAGATATGGGGGTGGTAATTTTTGACCCATGTCTATATACGAATCTTGGGGTAAGATTTGGACATGAATTTCGACTAAAAAATCGGTGTCGAGATTTGAGTGCCACATTATTCTAGAGGGAAACCCATGAAGAAAAAGCCAAACTTCGTGAAAATCGGATGAGATTTGGCCGAGATATGGGGGTGGTAAATTTTGCCCCATGTCTATATACGAATCTTGGGGTAAGATTTGGACATGCATTTCGACTAAAAAATCGGTGTTCAGATTTGAATGCCACATTATTCTAGAGGGAAACCCATGAAGAAAAAGCCAAACTTCGTGAAAATCGAATGAGATTTGGCCGAGTTATGGGGGTGGTAAATTTTGCCAAATGTCTATATACGAATCTTGGGGTAAGATTTGGACATGCATTTCGACCAAAAAATCGGTGTCGAGATTTGAATGCCAGATTAATTCAGAGGGAAAACCATGAAGAAAAAGCCAAACTTCGTGAAAATCGGATGAGATTTGGCCGAGATATGGGGGTGGTAATTTTTGACCCATGTCTATATACGAATCTTGGGGTAAGATTTGGACATGAATTTCGACTAAAAAATCGGTGTCGAGATTTGAGTGCCACATTATTCTAGAGGGAAACCCATGAAGAAAAAGCCAAACTTCGTGAAAATCGGATGACATTTGACCGAGTTATGGGGGTGGTAAATTTTGCCCCATGTCTATATACGAATCTTGGGGTAAGATTTGGACATGCATTTCGACCAAAAAATCGGTGTCGAGATTTGAATGCCAGATTAATCTAGAGGGAAAACCATGAAGAAAAAGCCAAACTTCGTGAAAATCGGATGAGATTTGACGAATTATGGGGGTGGTAAATTTTCCTCCATGTCTATATACGAATCTTGGGGTAAGATTTGGACATGCATTTCGACTAAAAAATCGGTGTCGAGATTTGAATGCCAGATTAATCTAGAGGGAAAACCATGAAGAAAAAGCCAAACTTCGTGAAAATCGGATGAGATTTGACCGAGTTATGGGGGTGGTAAATTTTGACCCATGTCTATATACGAATCTTGGGGTAAGATTTGGACATGCATTTCGACCAAAAAATCGGTGTCGAGATTTGAGTGCCACATTATTCTAGAGGGAAACCCATGAAGAAAAAGCCAAACTTCGTGAAAATCGGATGAGATTTGGCCGAGATATGGGGGTGGTAATTTTTGACCCATGTCTATATACGAATCTTGGGGTAAGATTTGGACATGAATTTCGACTAAAAAATCGGTGTCGAGATTTGAGTGCCACATTATTCTAGAGGGAAACCCATGAAGAAAAAGCCAAACTTCGTGAAAATCGGATGAGATTTGGCCGAGATATGGGGGTGGTAAATTTTGCCGCATGTCTATATACGAATCTTGGGGTAAGATTTGGACATAAATTTCGACTAAAAAATCGGTGTTCAGATTTGAATGCCACATTATTCTAGAGGGAAACCCATGAAGAAAAAGCCAAACTTCGTGAAAATCGGATGAGATTTGGCCGAGATATGGGGGTGGTAAATTTTGCCAAATGTCTATATACGAATCTTGGGGTAAGATTTGGACACGCATTTCGACCAAAAAATCGGTGTCGAGATTTGAATGCCAGATTAATCTAGAGGGAAAACCATGAAGAAAAAGCCAAACTTCGTGAAAATCGGATGAGATTTGACCGAGTTATGGGGGTGGTAAATTTTGACCCATGTCTATATACGAATCTTGGGGTAAGATTTGGACATGCATTTCGACCAAAAAATCGGTGTCGAGATTTGAATGCCAGATTAATTCAGAGGGAAAACCATGAAGAAAAAGCCAAACTTCGTGAAAATCGGATGAGATTTGACCGAGTTATGGGGGTGGTAAATTTTGCCCCATGTCTATATACGAATCTTGGGGTAAGATTTGGACATGCATTTCGACCAAAAAATCGGTGTCGAGATTTGAATGCCAGATTAATTCAGAGGGAAAACCATGAAGAAAAAGCCAAACTTCGTGAAAATCGGATGAGATTTGACCGAGTTATGGGGGTGGTAAATTTTCCTCCATGTCTATATACGAATCTTGGGGTAAGATTTGGACATGCATTTCGACTAAAAAATCGGTGTCGAGATTTGAATGCCAGATTAATCTAGAGGGAAAACCATGAAGAAAAAGCCAAACTTCGTGAAGATCGGATGAGATTTGACCGAGTTATGGGGGTGGTAAATTTTGGCCCATGTCTATATACGAATCTTGGGGTAAGATTTGGACATGCATTTCGACCAAAAAATCGGTGTCGAGATTTGAATGCCAGATTAATTCAGAGGGAAAACCATGAAGAAAAAGCCAAACTTCGTGAAAATCAGATGAGATTTGGCCGAGATATGGGGGTGGTAATTTTTGACCCATGTCTATATACGAATCTTGGGGTAAGATTTGGACATGCATTTCGACTAAAAAATCGGTGTCGAGATTTGAATGCCAGATTAATCTAGAGGGAAAACCATGAAGAAAAAGCCAAACTTCGTGAAAATCGGATGAGATTTGACCGAGTTATGGGGGTGGTAAATTTTGACCCATGTCTATATACGAATCTTGGGGTAAGATTTGGACATGAATTTCGACTAAAAAA